TAGTTGATTTATAAGTCCAAACCATTGGAATGACCCTATTAAGAAGTCAGATTGTCCAGATTATAAAACAAAGAAGAAAAGAAAGAAGGTGCCAGTGTCTGCTGACTGTAATCCGTGCTCCTCAGGAGGCTAAGATGTAGAGAATCTGAGTTTGAATCCAGCCAGCATAAGAAAGTCCATGGCACTGTTATTTCAAAGAGATCACAGAAAAATCCAGAAGTGGGATTGTGACTCCACATTAATGCACTACCCTTGAGCAAAAGGAGCTCAGAGACAAGGCCTAGGCTCATAGTTCAACCCTTGGACCTGTCCCCTCAAAAAGAACCTGCACACCTCCATGTCTTTGTGTATGTATAGATACATTCCTATAAGTGAAGCTCCTGAGTAGCTATGATAAATGGCAACCAAGGTAGGAAATTTGTATTCAATAAAATGAGTTCATAACACAGAGATTGCTTTTATGACATTACATATTCCAGGGTTCCCCTCATTGCTCCCAGTGTAGCAATGCATCCCAGGCCAGCTGGGAGAAGTCTCTTTCATTGCCTGGACAGGCACACAAAAGGCCTCACTCCTGTAGAGCTGTGTATCAAACAACTCCATCTGGGCCAATTAGTGAGGAGGAGTGTGGGCGGGCTCTGAAGGTCAGGAGAAAAAGTCCTCTTTGTACAACAAGCTATCTCTCTACCCAGTGCTGTTTTTTGACAGGAAGCCTTCATTTGTGCCAACTCCCATGGCAGGCCAAGTTCTGTGCACTCATCTTGTCTTTGTGAGACTATATTCCAGGGCTCATATACAGTGCTCAATATAATTCAGGAGTCTTTCTGGCAGACAACTAGGGCACTGAACCTAATGAAATGTTCCACGGAGGGCAATGATGGGTCTATGATGCCTTTTCTAGTTTTCTGGAAGCTTTGGAAATCCAAGCACATGTTGTATATCACAAAGCATCCAGTCATCTATGGCTGGTGAAACTCATCTGATTTTGAAACCTTTGACCTCTCCTAGTTGGGCTCTGGATGACTAGGTTTTGGGGTTGAACACAGGGCCTGGGTGCTGGCAATGAGCTCAGAACAGAAGTCTAGTGCTTTACCATTTTGTGTCACAGCTTCACTTCTGCTTTCTCTCTGTGTGTGTGAGTGTGTGTGTGTGTGTGTGTGTGTGTGTGTGTGTGTGTATGTGTGTGTGTGTTTGTGTGTGCATATTCTAGTCCTGGCGCTTGAACTCAAGACATGAGCACTGTATCTAGTTTCTCTTCTACAAGGATTGCCCTCTCCTACTTGAACCACAGAGGCACTTTAGGCTTTTTCCTAGTGATGTGGTCCTGAGAAATCATATATGCAAAGCACTCTACCCCTAAGGCACATTCCCAGCCCTCTACTTCAGTTTGTTAGTGTGTATCTATCTTTTTTTTATTATTGTCGGTTGGAGGAGTGGAAAGCTGGGCCTGGGGGCTGTCTCTGAGCTCTTCAGCTCAAATCTTGTTGCTCTACCACTTGAGCCACAGAGCCACTCCTGGTTTTCTTGTGGTTCATTGGAGCTAAGTGTCTCAAGGGCTTTCCTACCCAGGCTAGCGTTGAGCCATGATCCTCAGATCTCATCCTCCTGAGTAGGTAGGATGATCAGCATGAGCCATAAGCACCCAGCTATCACTTCATGTTTCTTAGTGGTGAATTGGATATAATAGTCTCATGGAACCTTTTGTGTCTGAGATAGTTTGGAACCCAGATCCTCAGATCTCAGCTTCCTGAGAAGGCAGGATGACAGACCTGTGCTATAGAACCCTAGGCCGTGACACTCTGTTGCACGAGGTTCCTTGGCTCCACGTGGTGAAGTGCTATCCATGAGCCCAAGAGGTAAGTGTCAGTGCTTAGGCCCTGAGTTCAAGGTTCATGACTGAGAAAAACAAAACAAAACAAAACAATTGTCTGCAGGAAACAACTCACTAGTCTTCAGTAATACATAATTTTGCCCCTCCCATGGGGACATATCTGAGTGTCAATATTCTTGTCTGCATAATCATCTCAGTTGTGGAGTTCTTACAAGGACAAGATGAAAGAATACACCCTTTGATGGACAAAACATATAACACTCTTTTTTATTCTGTCGTGAGGCTTGAATTTTTGGCCTGAGCTCTGTCCCTCAGCTCTTCAGCTCAAGGCTAGTGTTCTTCCATTTGAGTTACAGCACCACTTCCAGTTTTCTTGTGGTTTATTGGAGATAAGGTTTTCACCGACTTTCCTGCCCGGGCTGGCTTTGAACTGCGATCCTCAGATCTCAGCCTCCTGAGTAGCTAGGATGACATGCATGAGCCACCGGTGCCTACCTCCACATAACCCTCTTTACAGGGTTCAGCAAAGAGCATCTTGTGAAAGACTCATCATCCAGCACCCAATGCAGGACTCAACACACTGAACTCGGTGAAGGACTCAGCACATATCCTGTGCAGGATTCAGCACAAAGCACCCTGTGAGGGACTCAGAAACCCAAGAAGGACTCATCACAGAGCTGTATCCCACAAACTGTCATTAGTATTAGGGTGCTTTCATCAGTATCACCATTCTTTCAGAAACACATCACAAACTGCACAAAGTTCACATCTAATCATTTAGAGGGGTATTTTTTTTGGGGGGGAGTCACCCACAGGGATTGCACTAAAATGTTGGGGGTAATATCCTAAGATCTTTTGCTCAAGGCTAGAGCTCTACCATTTTGAGCCACAGCTCAGATTTTCACAGACATCCTGCCAGGGCTGGGTTTTAAACCCACCAGTGTCAGGTCTCAGCCCCCATGTATCTTGGATGACAGGGGTGAACAAGCCAGCAGTATCTGGTTCCATGGCGCTTGGTTGCAGTGGTATACATCTGGCTATTCAGATTAGATTGCAGTTGTCAGCATCAGACACCCAGCTTGCTCTGTGATGAGGTATTTGAAGTCCTATTCTTATAGAGTTGCAGTCACAACATTCAATCTTTTTTGGTGCCCGTCCTGGGTCTTAAGTAAGGCTCTAGACACAGTCCCTAAGATTTTATGCTCAAAGCTAGTGCTCGACTGCTTGAGCGACAGCACAACTTCCGGATTTTTATGTGCATGTGGTAGTGAGGAATCGAATCCAGGGCTTTGTATGTGCTAGCCATCACTATAGCACTGAGCCACAGGAGTGATGTGTATACACAGATAAATGTGTAGATCGGCATATATATATATATGTCTACATATATATGTAGATGTATAAATATATATATATGTATAAAACAAGAGAAAGATGAGTGTATATTATTAAATTACATAAATTATATTGTTGCCAATTATTGAAAAATTGTTCCTTCCATTTTTAAGTATCATGGTTGAATACATAATAAAGTATTAATTGAAAATTAGTCAATGTAGTGTAGTTGTTGTGTATAATTTTATAGTATACTCATACACTCACTACTAATTTAATTGTTACTTTTATAACATTTGTATGGATGTATTTTGGAATGCGTTTCTTAGAATCTCCCGCCAATCATTAGTGGCAGTCCCAGGATTTGACCTCCAGGCTTAAGTTGAGGTTTCGGCTATGGCTATCATAATAGCCAGCCAAACATCAGCATGTAAGATCATGTACACATTCTGGGCCTTATCATTTAGACCCAGGATGGTCACAATGCAAAGCAAAAAAATGTAAAACCAACCTTCTGGAACTTCTCTGTTTTATCCTTCTCCTTTTTATTTTTATTTTTTGCTAACGCCGAGATTTGAACTTGGGTCCTAGGATCCCAAGCTCAGCTGTGGCAGAGATGCCAAGACCTGAGTTCAAGCCCCATGTTTGGCCAAAAAACATAATAAAATAAAGCCCTGGATGGAATTTTTTTGGAATTTTTCTGGCTGGCATGGGATTTGAACTCAGGGTCTGGGTAACTCTGTGGCATTGTGAGTGAAGGGGAAGCTCTCGGTCCTTGAAGACAAGAAATTCAGACCAGTTCCCAGGCTCTGAATTGACGCCACAGCACTGGAAAAAATAATATTCATATATGATCACTGTTTACATACATGGGTTTAGTAAGTATGACATTTATTACCCTTATTTATTTATTATTATTACACATATAACATTTCATTTATTACATCCTATCACGAGTATATATTTGCATATGGATTATACATCATACTGAGACCCAGGATTTTTTTTTCAGGAAAAAAATGTGTCAAAAGTGGTTTCTTCCTACATGAATAAATTTTTGGCGATGCTGGGATTTCAACTCACGGCCTACAATGGCTAATCCATAAATGGGGTCACAGTCTTAGCACACCAGCCTCTGGAAATCTGAGCTGGCAGGAAGTTCTAAGGACCTGTGATCAAGCCACAGTAGTGCCCTATATATATATTGATAGATGTGTAGAAGGCTATATATATACATACACACACACACACACACACACACACACACACACACACACACACACATATATATACAGAGAGAGAATGTGAGGATATCATTAAATTATATAAATATAGTCACCCATTATTAGTTATTAAATTATGTCTCCATTTAATGAAGTATCATGGTTGAATACTTATAAAAATTTTAATAAAAATTAGTCAATATCCTTCCATTAGGGGAATCATACCATGGTGCTAGAATGGAAGATATAAATCCAATAATTTTTGTGTGGCATTATAAAATAGAATCACGAATTAACTGCAAAATTAATTGTTATTACACATTCCATTAACATTCACATAAATAGGAACTAGTCTTTTAGGATCTCTCTCCATTTGTGGGTGGCAGTCCTGACATTCGAACTCCAGGGTTAGGTAGTTTACTTCCAATGAAAACCATTGGAATAATACTGTGAAGGTTTCAGATGGTCACAATGAAAAAAAGAACAACAAGAAGAAAAGAAAGCCTGCTGTCAGTGGTTCCTGCCTGTAATACTAGCTCCTCAGGAGGCTGAGATGTATAGAATGCCAATTTGAATTCAGCAAAGGCAGGAAAGTCCAAGACATTCTTATTTATAAGAGATCACAGGAAAATATCCCCATGGGTTGGGGCTGTGGCTCAAGGGCAGAGGACTACTCTTGTGCAAGAGGAGATCAGACATAGGGCCTGGGCTCATATTTCAACCTCGGACCTGCCAAAGAAAAAAAAAGAAGGCAATAACTCCATGTCTCTGAGTATGGATGGATGATGTATGGATGTCACAAAGGATTTACAATATAATCATCAGTGTGATGTCACATTGTCATTATGACATCAGCTCATTGTGACATCACAAATATGTAATGACATCACACCACTATGATATCACATTGTCATTGTGACATCATATATACATTATGAATGCCTATTATTTGATTTCATTATATTTCAAATGTGGCATGTGGGTTCATATAAAAAACACATTTTGACTTCATAATCATTGTGATATCACAATCCCTTTGTGACATAACATTGCCACTGTGATATCTCTAAACATCTGTGCCAACTCAAACATGTCCTGTCCTCATGTTTTGTGACATGTTGCCACTGTGTTAGGCTCATTGAGAGCTCAATCTATTTTTGACATATCATTTCAGGTATGACATGAAATATTAGCAATATACTGTGACATCATGAACATTGTGACATCACACTACTAGATTTAATGACCATTGTGTCACATTGTCACATCACGAATCTGTTCGGACTTCATCACATTTGTGTCAACAAATGCTTTGGAATCGTCACAAGCCCGTTCTAAATTTATATACTCATTGTGAGTTAATGACAATTGAGGTCTGGAATGCCATTGTCACATCACCAATCTACTGCGACATCACAAAACTAGTTTCAACTCATCTCTATTATGGCATCATCAAATAATTGTGATATAACAACACTATTATGACGTTATAATTTGACATCATATTGCAATTGTGATATTACATACTTTCACAAACCTATTATGATCTCATCACATATAAGAAAATTCATGGCCTTTGGGATATCAAGCTCCTTCTGTGAATTGTATCATTGTGAACTTCTAGCAATTCAAATGTGAAATAAGATGTCACATTACAAACTAGTTTGGACATCATTAACTCATTTTTATATCAATAATTTTATCATTTTTATATCATTAACACTTGAACAAACGAAACCTGTTAGCAACTTTAGCACTTGTAACAAAAAACATGGCCTTTGCATCATCATACTTCATTTGTGTATGTTATGACTTCAATCTCATATCCTCACCATAAATTAGTGGCAATTAAGATCTGACATGCCATTGTGACATCACAAACCCTTTGTGACGTCATACCAATGTGAAATCCGACTGTTGTTATGACACCATCAGCTCATTGTGACATCACCAAGCTACAGTGACATCATAGCATTATGACATCACATTGCCATTTTGCTGTCATAGAAACATTGTGAATGTATATCCTGTGATTTCATTCTTTTTCAAATGTGGCATATCAGTTGATATCAGAAACACATTGTGACCTCATAACCATCGTAACATTACAAACTCTGTGTGACATCATAACCAGTGTGACATCAAAATGTTGTTATAACATCTTTAGCTTATGACATTATAGCATTTGCCATTATGACATTATGACATCATAGTCACATTATGAATGCCTAATCATTGTATTTGAAATGTGGGTTGATATCAGAAATTCATTGTGATATCATAACCATTGTCACATCAAAATCCCATTGTGACATCAATTTGGCAATGTGACATCACAATGTCAATGTAAAGCTACTAAGGCATCATGATATCACAATGGTCATGAACTCACAATGGGCTTCTGATATCAACTGACATGCCACATTAAAAATAGAATGAAAAACATAATAGGCAACCACAACGTGTGTATGACATCAGAATGACAATGTGATGTTACAATGCTATGATGTCATTGTAGTTTTACACGTCAAAATGAGCTGATGGTGTCATAATGCCAACATGATGTCACAATTATGATGAAGTCAGAAAGGATTTGTTATGTATCAATGGTATGTCTGTCAGTTGTCATTAGTTCCCCATAAGAATATGGATACAAAAAAGGTTTTCTGATGTCACAGAGGCCATGTGTGTTTTCAAAGGTGGTAAGAGGTCCTAATCTGAATGGCACAATGTGATTCATCATGTCACAATGGAAATGAGATGTCCCATTGTGTTTTTGATGTCACCGTGGTGGGATGAGATCACAACGGTTTTGTGATATCACAATTTGTTTGTAATATCAGAATGATATATCCAATTTCAATTACTTAGAATTCAATATGAGGATACCAGGAGATAGAAGAAGCTTCATAGTATGAGGTCATATTATGAGAAAACCCAATGGGACAGTGATTTCACAAACACAATGTGATGTCTCAATATCTTGTTATAATAATTTTTTGATGTCACAATTGGTGACACCATACTGATGAGGTGGTCATAATAGATTGGAGATGTCCCAAGGGGTTCATGATGTCACAATGGCATATGGGATCTCAATTGTCATTAACTCACCATGAGTATATGAGTTTGGGAAGGGATTCTGATGTCACTAATGTATATGTAGTCAAAAAGCTGAAGAACTAAAAGATCTGAGATGTCACAAAGTGACACAATGGTTATGATGTCCAGCAGTGTGATATCATTATGTTACACTGGATTTTAGATATCTCATGTCGTATCTGAAATATGAGGTCGAACACAGACTTTCAACTCACAAAGGGCCTAAGACATCACAATAGCGTGCCACAAAAGTTATGAGGACAGGAGAGGTATTTGATGTCACAGTGAGTTAGTGATATAACAAAGGCAATGTGCTGTGACAAAGAGATTTTGATATCACAAAAGTTATGAGTTCACAGTGGTTTCCTGATATCAACCTACATGGCACATTTGAAATAGAATGAAATCAAAGAATAGGCATTCACAATGGGTCTATGACATCAAAATGACAAAGTGATGTTAAGACAGCAATGTTTGATAGGATATGAACTCATTACCTTGCTCATGTAAATGTAATCCCTCTGTACACTGTACTTATAATAAAAAAGACACAGAAGAAAAAAAGAGAAAAATGGTATGGTGTTATTGGGGTTTGGTGATGTCACAATGAGATGATGGTGTTATGATGACAATGTGATTTCACAGTCATAATTATTGCAGAAAGTATTTGTGATGATACAATACTATGTGTGATCACAATTTTCATTAGTTCACTATGAGGATATGCTACACAAAGGTCTGTGAAGCCACAGAGGTTATTTGTTTCTTTAAAGGTGCTAAGAGCTCACAATAGCTTTGTGATGTCACAATGTGATTGTGAAGGCAAAACAGCAATGTGATGTCACAATGGGGTTGTGATGTCACAGTGGTGATGAAGTCACAATGAGTTTGTGTTGTCAATATGAGTTTGTAATATCACCATGACGTGTCCAATTTTAATTTCTACTAGTTCACAATAAGGATACAATTTCAAAGAAAGGATCTTAAGCTCCAAAGACCATGTGTTTTTAGTCATAACTTGTGTAATATGCAGCCATTAAGATATTTTAGTCCTTCAGTAGGCTTAGAATCTGTTTTCAAACTCATAATAATTCAGGTAGGACATATGGTATCTATCAGAAATTGACTGACATCATGACCATTGTGACATCATATGGATAGATATTAAGACCATGGTGTCACATTGTGAACTCACAAATCTGTTAGGACTTCATCACATTTGTGCCAACACATGACATTGAAGATAACACGGTCCCTTTGTCAACTCATATCTTCATTGTGAATTAATGACATTTGAGATCCAGCATGCCATTGTGACATTTCCAACCAGTTGTGACACAAACAAGACCACACTAAAGCTACCAGCACGACTATATTTATTTCAGCATTATTTACCATATCTAAGATATGGAACCAACCCAGATGCCCCTCAGTAGATGAATGGATCAAGAAAATGTGGCATATATACATATATATACACATACATACAATGGAATTCTATGCCTCCATCAGAAAGAATGATATTGCCCCATTTGTTAGGAATTAGAAAGACTCAGAAAAAATTATATTCAGTGAAGTAATCCAGCCCCAAAGAAACATAGGTTCCAGGTTTCCCCCTATTTGCAATCACTAGTATATGTCTGAGTCAAGCAGAAAAGGTCAGATAAGTTGATGTTACTGGAATGAACCCTAAGATAAGTATTCCAATTTTTTTTGTTTTTTTTTCCTTTCATGCAATTTTTTCTATCATATTTATAAGATGATTTCTATGTTGCTTTGTATGTCCCTCCCCCACAGTATAACCCATACTTTCACTGTATTTGATGTTGGTATAGTTTGTGGAGGGGAAGGGAAAAAAATAACAAATCATTTAACTAGGGATACAGGAGGACCCATTGCAACAATGAGATGTACAAGTCGTTTTGTCGAAAAACGAACTGAAAAACTTTGGTGGGGGGTGGGAGGAGGATTGAGTGGGGAGAGAGGAGGAGTATGGGAAGAGTTTGGAAGGGGAAACGAGGAGGCAATAATGCTTGATAAGAAATGTACTCGTTATCTTGCCCATGTAATTGTAACTTTTCTGTACGGTATTCTCACAATAAAAAAAAAAAAAAAAAAACACAAGACATTACAAACCCCCTCCCAAAAAAATTGTGACAGCACAAACCTATTATAGTAGAAACACATTGTGATCTAATAGCCATTGTGGTAGCACAATACCTTTGTGATCCCACATTTCCATAGTGATATCACTAACCCACTGTGAAATTCCAATCCTCTCACACCCAATCCAGGTATGAAATATGATACCCGAATCCAGTGTGACATTTAGATCATAGTGACATCACACTGATAGATGTTAAGAGCATTTTGTCACATTCTGACAACACACACCTGTTAGGACTTCATCACTTTTGTGACAACGCATGCCTTTGGAGATACCACAGTCCCTTTATGAGCTCATATACTCATTGTGAGTTAATGACAATTGAGATCACATGTGTCATTTTGATATCACCAACCCATTTTGACATCACACACCTCTTGTAAACATCACTAGTGTGGCATCACCAATTGTGATATGAAAATCTTATTAAGTAATCATATTGCAACATCACATTGCCATT